TTGCATTTCTTTTTTCTCTCTCCGGGCATAATGGAAGACTACATTTCCTGGCCTCGTTTGCAATTTGGTGGAGGCCATGGCACTAATGTCAGGCCAATGGCATGTGGGATCAAGTGATGTGAGCCAAACTTTGGCCAGACCACTAAAAATATTTTACATGGCTCTCTTAATACATTCCCATCAGGCACACCTTGGAAGACACAGGTAGAGACAGTGACATTATAAAATCAAGGAGACCCAGGCAGTCACTGAGTGAGCAAGAGTTTCCCTAGAGAGTCACCTGATCTATCTCAAAATTAGCATAAGTAAAAACCTTTGTGGTGTTTCGGGGTTAATTTGTTACTGCAGCACAAGCTATCTTAATCTAATACATGTTCTGACCATTAATCAAGCGAAGGCCTACCACCATGTGTTGCACTTAATTGACGCATACATACATTTCCAGGTAAATATATTAGATTAAATAAATTAGTAAATAAATCGTACTGTCTTTACCCCCACACACTTCCAATCTTGAACTCAATTACAGTAATGTGATAAAAATTTAGTTTATAAAGCAACCATGTCCTTGTGAAGGGGTGGGGATGTCGTGGAGACCTAAATCCCACCTGCAGGCTAATTGGACAGTCCTTCTCAGAAGGGCCACACAGAAGGGATGATAAATCCAGGGTGCGGTATAGCACTGATGAAACACATAACTATGCTCTAGTTCTTTACTATTTCCTCCCCTTACTATTATGGTTTTTATTTGTTTTACCTCATTAATCTTGTTAGACTAGGGTATGTTCATTTGTATAATTAAGATCGTTTGATTCATGAAAGCCAAGATGGATAACCCTTCAGAAACAGGAACAGGAGTAATGATTCCCTGAGGGAAGTGAGAGGTGGGGAAGAGGGGAAAGGAAGGGAAGCTGGTAGCATTGATGACTGTGTAACCCAACCGGAGGGGAGTGAACGACAAACAGAATTGTATGTGAATGGATACATTGGAGGTGTAAGATGCAGCAAGAAACTAAAAAAAGGTTCCTGGCCGGGGGTGGATGGGAAGGGAGGGGAGATTGGGGATAAAGGGGAGCTGATATCAAGGAGCTCAAGAAGAAAGAAAATGTTTGGAAACCGACTGTGGTAGCAATTGTGCAATACTGCTTGATGTGATTGAACTATGGAATGT